GCCTAAAAGCAACCTATAAACCTATTGTAACGCTTTTTTAGACAGAACGCGTTATAATTTGGTCCTACAAACCTAAGTTTTATGAAGTATTCTATTAGAACGCTTAAAAAATTTAACCGTCCTATAAAGTCAATTTTGTTGTAATTTCAACTCATTGATCTTTAACACAAATTTTCCAATATTCAATATTATAACCCAAACATGTTACTATTTTTATGCATTTTAAATTAGGGATGGGAATGGACCCCGACCCGTCGGGTAACCCGGTCCACCCGCCCCGGTCGGGGACGGGGATTCCCCGAAAAATCGGGTCTCGGGGACGGGGACGGGGATCCCCGCTTGGCACAAGCCGGGGACGGGGACGGGGACGGGTATAGCACTCCCCGCCCCGCCCCGTACCCGTTTTTTATATATATATTTTTTATGAATTTGGGCTTTGGGCTTTGGGCTGTGAAATAAAAAAAGTAAATGCATCTTCTCCTTCCTCCAGTCCAGTCCATGAGTACGAATTCACAATTTCAATTTCCTAATCCTATTTCTTCCCGGTTCCCGCATCCTTCCTCCTCATTAATCATCTACCATTTTATACTACCACTTTGATAATGATTGTTATATATGTTCCTTGATTTGTGAACTAATGTTTACCTTAACTAGAGTTTTACCACTTTGGTAGTAGGTTTCCATTAATCATCTACCATTTTATACTACCACGTTAATTGTTATATATGTTCCTTGATTTGGATCCAAATTAATACATTATTGTGGCTGGTCTGCTTTCTTTTACAAATTAGGTTTTTATACAAATTAGGTTCTTGTTGACACTTGATATCATGTGCCTACAGCAGCAGCAACCCTTCAAATTGCAATCACAATTTGGTCTTGTTTAAGTCTTATATTACTCGATGTAATTTTAGTACGTTTGACGTTAACTTTGATAATATTAGTTTAAACTTTTTGGTCTTGTTTAAGTCTTATATTAATATTAGTGTATTTCAATAATTTTTTGTTTTTAAAAAAAATCCCCGTTTCCCCGTTGGGGATCCCCGTTCCCCGTTGGGGACGGGGATGGGGATGTGATCATAATCCCCGGCGGGGATGGGGACGGGGACGGGGACACATACGGGGGATCGGGGACGGGGACGGGTATTGAGGTCCCCGCCCCATCCCCGCCCCATTGCCATCCCTATTTTAAATACGTCATCTTTTACTCTTTGCGTCTCAAATTAAGCGTCCACATTACTATTTTAGTTTGTCCTAAAACAAGTGTCCACTTTTAAAAGTAACTTCATAATTTCCCATTTTACCCTTGATTATGAGATGGATAAAATTTCTCTCTATATTATCAAAGATAAAAGTGTAATAATTACATATTTCTAAAACTGAGTACCACTTTCATAGCAGAACAGTAGAAATCATATCTTAATTTATTTTTGTTGTAAATGAAAATAAGAACAAATTAACCACAAGGATGGTGTCTGATTGGTTTGAGCTTGACTCCAAAGGTTAAAAGTACTAGAAGGTTTCAGATTCAAATCCAAGGAGAAATAAAAATCCTCTTGTGGCCACGGATGTTCAAATGCGATGACTTCGGGTTATCTGCAAATCAGGTGGTCACCCTGGTATTAGTCAGCTCGCATAACGGATTGGATATATTCAGGTTAATAAAAAAAAACAAATTTAAGAAAAATACAAAAACCCTTTGAGTGTGTGGAAACCTAGAAAAGGGTAAGGGAACAAACATTATTGAGGAGGATAGATTTGGGAAGAATTTTGTGTTACATAAAACAATCTTCTACTCCATTCAAAGGGTCCCCATCCTATAAAAGCCTAACCACAAATCTTCATCACTTGGTTTGAGAATCTTGACTTTTATACCCTTCAACATCTCTTCTTTTTATACTACTTTTTTTTGTTTGGATATTTGACTCATAATTACTTAATTAATGCTCCAAAATCTCTTCAAAATCTTCTAATCCAATCATAAATCCTGATGGGTGTTTGGGATTGCTTATTTGAAACAGCTTATGTTTTTCTACAAAAGCACTTATCAACTTATTATAAGTCAGAAGAGTTTAACTTCTTCAAAAACTTCTTATCACATATAAGTTGTTTATCCAGACACTCAAAAATATTTATTACTGGTACTACACCGGAATAAGTCAATAAGTTGTTTTTATAAGTAATCTCGAACACCCCCTCAAAACAAAAAAAGGGAAACCAAATTATTCTTTCTTTAATTCATGTATTTTTCTTTTAAAAACCGATAAATTTGACGTAATCAAATACGAATCTTGTATATTGTGATAGTTACGAGAATTTTAGTTTTAAAGTCTTGTTTCACGTGATTTTTTTCTCATTTAAGGTTAATATTTAATGTATTGATTAACATATATTTGTTCCACAATATCTTTGTTTCATGTGTATTCGGTTCATCATACGTGTATTTTTTGTTTCACAAACACGTTAAAAAGTTTCATATTGTGAAACAAATATATGTTAATAAATACCATAAATTTCAATTGTAATTGAATTTTTTTTATATAAAATAACACATAAATGTATGATGTATATGTTTTAAGGTTTCTCATAGTTTTTTATGCTCTCGAATGATTAACCCCTAAATGGCAATATCTATCTAGCTGAATGGTTGAGAGGCCTTTGGAATTGTCACCCTATATAAGGTATCGAGTCCACTGCTATAAAGTTGTGCATCACCAACGAATTATCGAGGATTAATAGACGACTTCGTAAACCCAAAGAATGTCAACGAATCGAAAACGATAGTCGTTGGTAATTTGTATTTATTGACAGACTAGCTACGATTTTTTTACATCAAGTAAACCATCGGGATCTTACAGATTACGTAAGATTTAGTTGTTTTTGGCTTTTCATTTCTAAATTTATGTTAATGAGTTCTAGGCGAATGATCGTGTGACAAGAAGGATTAAGATGAGAAGCGTAATAAATGATCTGAACCTTTGATCACGTTTAATCTCAAACACACTCATGAATCGTGCTTGACATGGAGATTGATCTGATCCATCTCATCTCGGTGCATCACATCCTAATGTGCATCCAATGGTGGAGATCTCTTCTTACGCTTTTCATTTTAACTCTACTTCTCGCTGAAACCCAACCCATGGATTCTAATGGTCATATTTGTTCTAAATGGATTAATCAGTTTTAGTGGGTCATATTTGGTCAAAATGTGTGTAATCAATGTTAGTGGGATTTGATGGGTCATAATCAGTCTTTGGTGGGAGTTCCATTGGATCATTATCGGTGTTGCTAATATTAAATTTTAGACGAATTTTCCACATATTATTTAAAAATATTTTAATTAATATATTGGAAATTTGTTGATAAATGTTAAAGCAAAATCAAACATAAAGAATATCCGACTTTCAAATATTTCAATATTGTCAAACATACACAATATGAAATCAAATCAAATGACATATAATAAGATCTTAATATAAATATATATATATATATAGAGAGAGAGAGAGAGAGAGAGATAGTTTGTTTCAAATACAATCCATCGCATTTGTACAACCAATACAACCCAATAAATTGAGATATTTACGGAAATGATGAGAGTTTATTTATTATGATTTGAATATCAATGAAAAATGAATATGGTTCATTAATTATGATCAATACTTTATATTAGGAAACAATCAAAACTTCTATAAAATCACATATTAATCAAATGAAATGAACGGTTGAGATTGAGTTGTATTGGTTACACAAATGTCAATGGTTGTATAATAATCAACCTCTCTCTCTCTCTCTCTCTCTCTCTATATATATATATATATATATATATAT